CAACTTCTTTATCAGTCATAAATCATATGCATTCTAAATCATATGCATCTTATCTAATTGACTAACAGCAAATCGAAAAGAGTAATCTATTAACTTTTCACTAACGTCATAAAGAGAGAGAATACATTTTGGACAAATAATCTTTTATTCATGGGATACTATAGTGTGCAGAAAAATCTGCGATAAATAAAATCAAAATAGTCAGTTGGAAGAATATATTCAGCTGCTTTGAAATGTATGGAATATTGTATAGGATGAAAAATATGCATTGGCGTACAGTGAAGCATACAATGAGCGAAAAACAAGTAGGACATGTTTAATATATTTCATTACCTGAATTTCCTTACAATATTATTTATTTTTTTATAACTTATTTGATGTTGTGTTATGTTTTCTTTCTTTTTCTTTTCAATTCTCCTCTGTTCGTAGTTCATTTATTTGGCAAATATTATTACAAAATACTCGAAATATAGAGTCACGCTATATTCGAAATAAGGGTTTGGAAATAGTCCATTATCCTCGTGACGACCGTAACGACACGATAATTAGTAGCAATAGCAGTGACGTGCACAGTACTTACCAATTGAAACGCCAATCGATATCGCACAATCAGGAACTCTGAATCATCCTGCACAAACAAGTAACGACATATGTGATTATTTGCACGAGAACAGTTGCAAAACGTTCTGTTTGTTAGATAATGTAAACGTTTAGCACGTACACTTTCACCGCGTTATTTTTGTTGTTTAATTATGTGTAGATTGTTCAATATGATTAAAGAATATTGTTTTACAATATTGTTGATTATTGTTGATTGTTCAATATGATTGAACATTTTCTTTATTATAATATACGGTATTGTAACATTACTATATAACATTTAGTATGCCTAAAATAATTAATACACTATCCAATATTTATTAAAATAATATTGATATTCGTGACTGTGTGGCGTATCTTGAAAATGTATTTATCTAATAAAACTCCCAAAGTTTCTTTTCAAAAAGTTTTACTGCAAAATTTTATATAAGCTTCAAAATGAAACCTAATTACACATTTTTCTCATAGCAGGGATTAATAAACTGAAGTAGTTGAAATTTTTTAGTTATTCGTAATAAAATGATATATTATTCGATTTCTGATTTTGTTGGAAATCTATCACAGTTCTTTTAGAAATGAGAAACGATTGTCACGTGAATACAAATATTGTTTAGTTCAAATACGAGGTATTTTGGAAACTTTGTAGTTTTAAAAATCTCTTATAATAAGAACTGGACTGATTCTTTTACTA